CTTCCGGTGTATCCCTCCGCTTATGTTATGATTACAAGGCAATGCGTGAACAGGCTTAATATTCTGAGGAGTTTTATTATTGTGATTTGTTAAGTTTACGCGTAATTCTACCATTCAAAAGTTTTCCGCAATTTATAAATTCAAACAGGTCGTAAGCTTAAAACAAAATTAAGAAAATTAATAAAACAATATATATAAAATGTAAGGAAAATGAAAATTCTGCTATCCTAGTTATTTTTAACATTCTGACATTTAGAATATTTTTGTGATGAAAAGAAGAAAAATTTTGAAGATTCAAGCACACTTATAATCCCTATTAACATAAATTAGAAGATAATCCTCAATAAATCATTAACAGAGATTTCATGTACAGAAATTGTATGGTTTTTAGCATTTAAAAAGAACACAATCACCTAAAGAAGTCAGTTCTCTCTTTATAGCTTTGCTCTATGCACGATTTGATTTTACGATAATCGGAACTAAATAATTTTATATATACAGTGCACTCCCGATTATCCGGGTTAATCACCGGGACAGGTCACACGGACAATCAAAATACACGGATAATCCGAAAACTTCTTTTATTGAAGAAAAATCCGCAGTAATGTCACTGTAATCAAATCCTTCCATATAATCTAATAAAATTTCCACAGAGCAGCAGAATGAGTGACATGATGAACATGAAGTGACATAAATGAATGAAATACAATTTCATTCATTTACTACATCTTCTGCATCAGTTACTATCATCACTATTTAATTTAACAACACAATGATGTCTTCATCAGTCAAATACTGGAAGCCTGCCTCACATGCATCACTATGAAACCAATCTTTTAAATTTTCTTCATCAAGAATTTCGAATCCTTAGATTTCTTTTGCTAGTTCGAGAATACTGTTATCATATTTTTCTTGAACATCTGAAGAGGATTGTTCATCAAGTGGTATGATCTTTCTCCAAGATCGTGATAACGTAGACGATCATGCTGCTGATATTCCATATACTGCAATCCAATAACGAATATTGCTTCTAAAAATTTGGTAGTGTTATAACTTCATGAATCAAATATTTTTAATCTTGAAAACGTTTCTCTTTATATTTGTGTGACTCCGGAATGAGCACGGATATTCCGTAAACCGGATAATCCGTGTACGGATAATCGAGAGTGTACTGTATTAAAAGGTGATCATTTCAAATCCAGCTAATTAAAGGTTGAGAGCATGAAAATGATTTATATTACAAAAAACTCATATTGGTAATAAAAAGTTTAAATGGAAACGTAAAATAAGCTCTTTTAAAAAAGAATAGAAATGTATTCAATTTATGGAGGATTGTTAAAAATTTTTTTTTAATGGGTATAAGACATATTAAATCTTGAGGCGGTATCTGCTGAATATTTAATTATTCATTCATTCATAATGGGCATTTAATGATTGTGATAATATATAAAAATGATTATATAAAAACTTTAAATATATATAAGGTTATGAAATGGTTAAAATAGTTTAAATTATTAGAGTGGAGGGAAAAAAAAGAGAGAAAAATGTTTGAGAACCACTGTCTTAAGAAGATTAAGAAGTATTAGGGGGATGTATTTCCTTTTACTTACAATAGGTGGCGACACTTAGGGTCAAACCCTGCAGATGATGAGGCACAATAGGTGAGAAGAAGCAAAGTTCCTTTAGTCAGTGCTTGGTCACTATAGTAACCAAATCACTGAGAAACTCATAATAACAGATGCACTAATTGATTGCTATTTATCCCTCTTCTGATGTTGCCTGGAAGAAGATTCAGGATTCAATTTTACCTTCAAAACAGTCATTTATAGATATTGCCCCATTTTTTCTCGGCATTTAATTTACACTATTTTTTTTTAATTTTATGATTCACTTTTGATACTAGATAAGGTCTTCCAACGGAATATATAAATAACTCAAAACTAGAGCAAATGCATTCGACAAAACTTTCCAACAATCTCTTTTTTTTTTTTCTTCAGGGAAGGGGTTAATGAAATAACCATTACAAATTTATAACTTAGACAAGATAGTCTGTTAATAAGATTAAAATTTTGTGTGGGTATTGAGCGTTGTTAGAAGATGGGGATACAAAAAGTTTTTATTCCGTGTAATAATGATGCAGCAGATGACTTTTGTGTTTTTTCAAATTAGGCAATTGTATAGTCATACCTAGATGTTACTCTGTGAGGCTTTAAGGCAACAACCACTAAGGCTAGATCAACAGACCACAATCAATTCATCATTTGCTAATTCTGCTAGCTAAAAGCAATAAATTGATTAATTGATGTAGAGTTTGGATAGAGAATTTTTTTAAGAATAAAATTGAAAAAATTCTAGGTAGGTAGGTACTTTATTTACGTCGCACTAGAGCTGCGCAATGGGCTATTTCGCGACGGTCCGGGAAACATCTGCTGCAGAGGGGATGGCTCCCCTTCTTAAATAGCCCAACTACCTGCGCAAAGTTGAGCAGTTTAACGAAGACTGATACTGCATACCCTCGGTTTCTACCCAGACTGATTGAAGTGGTCACCCCCGTTTACTGACCGCAACCAGTGAGGCTTGACTTTAGTGTTCTACTGGGTATCATGTCTTTACGATCAGTCCACTTCGGAATGAAGAAATTCTACTGTTTTGGAAAGTTATTTGGGGAGAGGGGAATAATATTATACACATGCTTGTTCATCTGTTGGTGAAAATTTTAGTTACCTCTGCCCCTTTTAGGCAGAACTTTGGATATGTTATAGCTGCCACTTTAAACGATTTTTTGCTGGAGATTTTTCATAGTGGTAGCAGAGTAAAATCATTAAAGTTGTTAGTAATCTCATACATTTTGTCAGGCGTTGACACAAATAACTCATAATTTTCAGGGTATGTAATTTAAATTATTTATGTTGTGCTGGTAAAAATAATTATAAATCAAAAATTTCAAATCCAGAGATAAAGTAAAAAATTGGCTACCACTAGAAAATATCGTTTGTAAAATTTGACATGCATGGCGTGTTATTCATGACGATTCAAAATAAGTTACATTACACTTAATAGCAACCTTATCTGGTTTCAATAATTACAATACACTTAATAGCAATCTTATCTGGTTTCAATAATAAGGCAAACAGGAAATATTGTTAATTCATCCCATTTCTATTACTGGACGATTCGGTTTGTAAAAAAATTAAAATGGGGCAACAATTTAAAGGAATGCTTTTTTTCCATATATGAAATATACTTGAATGTTTCCTTTTGAACTGGATTTTTATTCATCACAGAATTTTTCCCCTAACAGTCTCTTCTTTAAAGATTATCCTTACTTTTGTATTTTTAAAATGATTTAAGGAAGAACAACTGAATGTGACTGTCCAATCAGATAGGCAGTGAGATTCTTTGATTTGCTAATTGAGTTATTCAAATTCTGTTGGAATATAACCTTATTCATACACTATTAATAGTGCTGTCATCACGTTTCGGTCATTAGGTTAAGATTACAACTCAAGTTTATTTCAAACACTTTAAAAATGGTTACTCAAATAAATAACCATCATGCTGTTTGTTTTAATCATTATTTCTTAATTTTTTATCGATTTCTAAAATTTGAATGATACAAATAAAAAAATTTTTTCTTGAGTCTTTTTTTTCTTCTACAATTTGTACGAAAATTAAGGGAAAAAAAAACTTTATTATTGTTGCATCAGTCACCAGACACATTCCCTTAATAACTTTTGATGTGAAAAAAGCATTTGAAAATATATTAATGAGTTATAAGTTTGTAACGATTACATTAGGAACTTTCCAGTTTTAAATTTGATCTACAACTTGCTTCAGACTTTCTTTAGGAAATCACTCTTTAAAGTAAAAGTAAATCAACAATGTTTACATTAAAACTCTTGAATGCTATAAGCAGCCACATTAAGATCTGAAAAAATTCATTGTATTTTATTATTTTTCTACATTTAAAAATTGGTCCATAGTTAAATCTCAACTTTACTTTAATAAAAACATGCATTTAACAGTACTAGCACAAAAAGTTATTTTCATTATGAGAACAGTTTCGACTAGGTCATACACAAAAAAAGTTTCGCAGAGAAAAAAATGCATCATAAAAAAAATAAGGGTCTGTTAGAATAAATTTAGAATAATGTTCGAATTTCGACTTCCTGTACAGTTTATATAGAGAGAGCCTCAATGTTTCATTTTAAAAAAACTGGGCGAAAAAGCTTGCTTTGATATGACGTAAGCAACCAGTTAGGCTTACCACACCACACTATTGGACTAAACACGTGCTACCTATTCGTAGAAGACAGCTGGGGGAAAAGCTATTCTTTTACATAGATTGCAACGAGAACAGGATTTGCATGGTACTAGTGCCTTTTCTTCCATCTCAATTAAGGAATGAAGCGGCAGACGCTTCTTTTCTCCCATGGCGCTTCGGGATTACGGCATGCTCTCAGCCAGGTATGGGGAGGAAAAGTGGTTTTTTCACAAACTGGGTGGAAAGCGAATTCTTCTACTACATCATAGTAGCAATCTGAGGGACAGTTCCATAGAAAGTCAAAAAGCGTAATTAACCCAAGATTAATCGTTTTTTACGGGGATACAAAAACAAAATTTTAAGAAGTTGATGGGAGAATCTTAGAATTTGCTTTTTTAAAAGTATTTTGTGAAACTAAGTTTTTCCTAAAGTTGAATTTGTGAAGGTAGTGCTAAACAGCAGTAAATTTGCCCTGGACAGGCAGCTGTATATATATCAGTGTAATATTTTATATTTACTATTTTTATATATTACTGGATAGTAATATTTATTTTACATACATTCTTTTTTTTCTAATGGGCATTGTAAGAAAGCAAAAGTTATTAAGGGTTGAACAGGCAACTGCACAAGCTTGAAAAGGTGATTTATTTCTTAATTATGGAGATGACATAAATATATGAATTATTTTTTTAAAAAAGGGGGCATGTTTTGATCGGAAAACAAATGAAGAAATTACCCTTTCTTGATGCCTTTTGAGGAGGCGGATGATTTCTTGGAATTCGATTGGGTTCGACCCTTCTGCCCTCCCCATGAGGATCTGCTTCTGTCTCTGGGGAGGGCTCCAAAGCCAGACGGTATGATCCTTGCACTGTGGGGAGTGTTCACAGGAGTGGCCTCATCCGAAGCACTACTACTCGTATCAGTGTTTTGGCCGGCTTAAAAACACAAATATTTCAACAATTGAAAGAGGAAAATACATCAATGAAATTAGCCTAAATTTAAACATTGAAGAGTAAAAAAGCGAAGTTTGTTGATTTAAATTGAATGAAATTTTTTTTTATGGATCACCTTTTTTTTTTTTTTTTTTTTAAATTTGATCCTTCCCAGATAGCAAAATAAAATTTATTTTAGCTCAGCAAAAACCTTTTAATGTAAACCTAAAAAGTTATGTTATGCGGTTTACGCGTAAACGGTCTAACCTTAAAACGAGACCTGTGACTATCTGCTCTAATCTACACACATTACCCTAATCCAAAACTTTGGAAAACAACCTTATATATAAAAACCTTTAAGTTGACTTAGGGTTTTCAAGAGTGAAAAAATCTTTTAATAAGGCTATTCTCAAGGTGATAATAATCTTAGATCCAGGTAATTATAAGGTTTCTTTTCGCAAGGTCTTGCATGCTCAGCTAAAATCCACCTTGTCTTGATATTTTAATGGAGAATGCAATTTGATCCTATCGCTAGTGTGACGTCATCTAAAACGTCACTATGGACCTAAGTGACAAAATTTTTTTTAAAAGTTTAAAAAAATTTTTTTTAAATCCTTTTAGGATGAAAGGTTTGAAACTGCAAAGTTTTTGCTTTATTGAAAAAAGGTTTTTAGTACAAACGATTCCGTGAGATTTCCATTCATTTTCAACAAATTTGAATACTTGATCCAGGAGTTCCTTTGTTCTCTGGATTGGGTTAAAAATAACAAGGTTACGGAGTTGAACACTAGTGGTCGTAAAACCAAAATATTGGGCTGACTGTTTGACGACGGTTATAATTTCGAGACTAATGGCATAATTGTGGCATTGTGGTCAGCACTGGGCACAGACCACCTTTACTTCTCAGATAAGCTGGTACCCATCAATCTGAAGCAAGATGGGCTTCAAGAAACCACAGAAGATCAAAGCCCAGTTCTCCACAATGACAGTTCAGTGAGCGCGTAGCCAAATCTTTCAACAAAAAATAAGCATCAAGTACTTTTTAAGCACTAAGAAAATGCAAAATAATTTTCAAAGACTTTACATAATAATGATAAAATAACTAGTTTCTAACAAAGAACTCTTTTCTTAACTATATTAGCCACCATTAAAAGATGGAGAGATTTTTCGTTTTGGTGTCAAAGGATTTTTTTTCTTCCAATGCCCACCTGGAGAATGACTTACGTCATACAGGCATCTGAAGGGCAGACTTGTTGGCCACTCTTTCAAGGGCACTATGCTAGATGGGCCAACGTTGTTCCCCCCACAGTAAAGACAGATAGTACAGAGAAGGAAAGAACATCCATGCCTTGCCCGGGATTCGAACCCAGAACTTTTCTGATGCAAGGGCAGTTCCCTAACTCCTACACAAGCTGGTTGGCTTGGTTTTAAAGGATGAAAACGAAGACTGAAATTGAGAATATCTTGCAAAATGCAGCAGTATTGCACATGAAATTGCAAAAATCTCACCGCACTCAGCTCAATATACACAAATGAGGACCTGCAAGTATTTCACCAAACCTGCAAAATGATTGGCGCTTTCATACGCTAGGGACCGACAGTTGTGTTTGAATAAATTGTGAAAACGTTGAGTAGAACAATGCGAAATCCACGCTTTTTAATAATACGTTACGAAAATTTCATGTTCTAAAAGCGAAAATTAAGCACTTTTTTAAAAAACACTCAGTGAAAATAAGCACCTCTAAGCACTTTTGAAAAACGCTACACACCATGTTATTGTGCGATTTTATAAGGAGACTTACTTTGAGTTCCAGGCGTAAGGCACGCACCCTGTCTTCTCTCGTTGGGCTTCGGAGGTGTGCCACTAAACTGTCGGATGCCAGGGTCGGTAGCCTCTGACTCAGTGGTTGTGCGATTATTGCTGTTGTTGTCGTAGTGTAGAGGAGGAGGAGGGTGGCGACGAGCATACTCATAAGCTCGGAGGAGTTCCTCTTGATTAGAAGAACCTGAAGTAAGACTATGACTATTGGGCGCTGAAAGTAATGAAAAGGAGCTATAAACTAAAAGAACACAAGCTACATTGGAAATTTTACGCAGGCACCTTACTACACAAACTTATTAACGGAATTGTGATAATGCTTGTCCCACACTTAGCTTATAAATGATAAAATCAAAATTATGAAATAAAGAATAAAATAAAATAAAAATTAGTCATTTATCCTGTCTGATATTCATCTTTCTGCACTTAAAATCTGAGAAACAATCATTTCTTATTGATAAATTAAAAATAGAAATTTTTTTAAGTGAAAATTAATAGACTTGTCGGAATACTGCTTAATGTAACAAGGTGCACTGTTTCATGCCACATTTATGTAATATTGATCTTTAGCCTCAGGTTACAACTTCAAGCATCTTCTGTAGTAGCAGTATCGGTCATACATGTGTAACATGCGTAGAAGTTCATCAAAAATAAAATGATGTTAAGTGCATTGTCCTAGTAAGCCAAGTATAAGTTGTGATCAGTTCAGGATCGTTTTTGTGAAACTAGGTGACTATTTATTCTTTTTGTATATTCATTTAAAGCTTTCTTTTTGTTGTTGATTTAAAGGCCTATGTATAAATAAAAAATTTAAAAGAAGTTACCTTGGCTCTGATAGAGTTCTTCACTTGCTTTTCCACTTTTACTTGACGGTGGATCTAAACTGGCCTGAAAAAAATTTGTTTTAAATATTTTATTTTCTATCAGGTAATAAACAGGAGATAGTAATACAACAAGAAACTATTAGCAATCGCAACGCCTGAATACGCCCTCTAGCAGGGTGGATATTTTCAGGCTACTATTTATTAGGTTTTCATTTAGTTCTATCAGAATCATTGGCAGAGTCGGACACCATTTTCTGAACAGCAAATAAGAAGCAAAGTTTCCCCAAGGAAAAAGCAGAAGAACTTGAAAAAACTACCCAGAACATTGGTAAATCTTTCAGAAACAGAACACATCAAACATTTGAAGAATAATTTTTTAATAATTCTTACCTTTCTATTATCAACAACATAAATTCCAATTTCATGATTGCATGCTGTTACAGATGTGTGTATTACAGTTAAAAAATATTTTTTTGTCTTCAATTTATTACAAATTAAAGTGAAGTCAGCATTGCTTACTTCATTCCAATAAATAAATGTGATTTCAGAAAGTACGGAACTGCAGTTATAGAATATTCTTCTTCTTTTATAGAATAGTATATATTTCTGTATCTACATAATTCGGAAAACAGCAATAAAGAATCATTCGAATTACTTGAAATAGTATCATTTATGTTGATTATTAATAAATTTTTATCGTTTTCTTGGTAAGTATTTTTTAATTTTGAATGATTAATTTCAACCAGAATTCAGCTATTCTGTTTTTAAAGTTACATATTGAAATCTTACAATTATAAAATTTTATTGTGTGGTATTTCATCTTAAATTAATAAAGGGATAATCTATGTATATATTTTATTTGAGAATAAAATTTTAAAATGAAGAACATTTAATTTTGGAATTCTCTGGATTTATAAAGCAGGTAAATGTTATGATTTTTATAATAAAAAATTAACTTGTTAATAATTTGATGATAGCTTTCTACAGAATGGTTTTCTACGTCTGAATACAAACTTTAGGGTTAATAAAAAAAAACTATGAAAATCTTTTATTTCAATAAGAGGAATTTGTAAATTTTTATTTTTATTTCTTATTATCATAAGCAGTTTTTATTTTAATTTTTTTAGTCTATAAATAATGATTTTTTATTAAAACTTTAAATTTTTTGACAAAAACTGTTATAAAAAACTTTTTTTCAAAATTAAATAATATAACATGACGTGTTTCTGTATACTTTTTGCATATTTTAATGTTTGAAGTAATATGATTCAGAAAAGTATGGAATGTAAAGTTTAAAAAGAGCTTTCATACTAGATCATCAAATTTAGCAGGGCGATCACTCAAGCATTAGGTTTTAACTCTAATAAGAAGATAAGATAAATGTTTTTTTTTCTGTTAATTTACAAATATTTTTCCAATGTGTTTTGGATGTTCCTTCTTTAAAAAAAAGATTACAAAATTAACAAGTGTATTTCTTTAGGAATACTAATTGGTAACATAATCACCCTACGCAAAAAATATAAAATGTGTCTATTTGTCCTTATTCAATTAAATGTATATTTCTCAAAATTTTTGACTGCTTCCAAACGTTTTACATGCCCTGCATAATACAGCTTTATTTATGAAACAAAGTGTTTACCAATGAAAAACATTTATTATTGTCCTTCCTCGCAACATTAGGAATATGAAAAAACGTTCAATTGAGAAAAATTCAGTACTATTAAAATGGGTATGGCAAAAGAATATCTAAAAACATGGAAAATAACTGAAGTTTTTGATGATGTCAAAATAAAATACCCCAGAGATGCCATTCTATGAGTCATCGTACAGTTAAAATGACTGATTTTTCTATTTTAAAATAATAATGATAGGCTGAAAATATTCAACATGAAAGAGAAGCATTTAATAAAATGGTAAATTTACCTTTGTTAAATAAGGAGGTTCTCCATGGTGAACACTGAAAGTTTTGAACTCTTCTGTTTCACCTTCTTCACCAGGGGGAGGGGGAAGTTGAAAGGTTGCATAGGGTGCAATTTCATCTTCATACTCGGGAACAGAATGTGAAGCTGTGAGCAGAATGAAATTTTGTTCATTTTTGAGACAAATATACTAAGTTTGAAACATTTTAAGGTATAACAGACTCTCTGAAATGTGAACAATTTGTGCTCGGAAGCTTTCCCTCTTTTAGAATTTTGCAGATTTTAGATCCTAAATTTGTTTACTACAGAACTGTGCGTTTTTGATTTATAAGTTTATATCTTATCTGATGAAATTAAAGGGAAACTAATAAAAATTAAGAATACTTTATATGTGATAAATTTTTCAATTCTCATTTAAGTTAAATTTAAATACATCACAAATTGTAAAAGTGTTAAAAAATGCGAGTAAAAAAAAAAGAGTTTTTTATCAGTAAAAAAAAAATATGTTTCATTATGTATTTTTTAATAATAAAATTTAATTTTTATATAAATTTAAGATCTAAAAATTTGACGGCACAGCAATCCCTTTAACAATGTACTCATAAAATCTTTCATAACTTCTGATCTATTAGTTGTATTGACATGGGTGAGGATTTTTTCGATTCAGTATAAAAAAATACATCAAAGCAATATGTCACCCGGCTAGATAGCAAAGTGTAACTCACTCTTTTTTGTCCCCAGTAAGTCCTAGATTAGGACTGTAGCTCACCTCAGTTTCAACTTCAGACCTTTATATTCAGCCTAAATGATATTTTTTAAAACAATTTACAGCATTCTTACAAAAGTTTTTGTATGTGATGACTTAGGTATGGGTCTCAAATTTTATGGCCATATTATAAAAAGTTCAATTAGTAATAATTGGTCAATAAATTCTGATAGACATAAGTACCAAAGAATTGTTACATAACACGGTGGTGCAGGCATTAAAGTATTGGTACTTTTCTGAGACTTTTAGCATTGTAATTTTGAATATTTAGTTATAATAAAATATTATTTGGTGCAAACTTATTTTATGATGCTCAGAAGAATACTAAGCACTTTTCCTCAACATAAATGAGGTGCAATCACATGACATTATAAAAGAGCTTTGAAGAAGTTATAGAAACTAAAAGTGGTGATAGCAAATATTTTCAACCCGTGGACGAAGGATGTTCAGGGTGCACAGCCAAATCTTTCAACAAAAAATAAGCACCTTTTAAGTACTTTTTAAGCACTCAAAAAATATTTTTAAGCACTATATATGTTAACAAAATGCAAAATACTTTCAAAGACTTCACATGATCATGATAAAATAACTAGTTTCAGACAAAGAACTCTTTTCCTGATTATATTAGCCAACATAAAAAGAGTGAAAGGTTTTTCGGTTCAGAGGGTGGAAAATGAAGCCTCAGTTTGGGCATATCTTGCAAAATGCAGAGTTGCACATGAGGGAGCAAGAATATCACCAAACCCAGTTCAGTATTCCCACATGCGGACATGTAAAATGATTGGCGCTTGCATACGCTACAAGCCGGCATTACTCCGAAATGGATTGTGGTTGAATGAATTGAGAAAACGGTGAATTGAACAATGTGAAAAGCATGCTTTTGCATAATACGTGACAAAAATCGACATAGTAAAGAAAAAATATATAATTTCCGAAAAGGAAATACTAAGCACTTTTTAAAAACCTTTTATGAAAAAAGCACCTTTAAGGGCTTTTAAAAAGCGAAAATCAAAAATAAGCACCTTTAAGCTCTTTTTAAAAATGCTATGCACCATGATGATGTCAATAGAGATACTCACAATGGCTGGTAGAGGGACCTGCTGTTGTTGACTGCTGGCGTGACTGAGGAGGTGCTGATGTCGGAGCAACTACTTTCCTGACAGGGGATGAGAAGTATGAGGGGAGATCTCCACCCCTACTGTTGTGTTGTCTACTGGCTTCAGACGATCTTCCTGTTTTCTTATCCATGTGAGCCATCAGAGACGTTGTGGTTGACACATCTGCCCTCGCTTCTGAAAACAAATTTTGTTTTAACAGCAACCTTACCTTTTATAAATATACAGTAGAAAGTCACCTTATAAATGCTAGTATTAAATATATTGTGCATTAAAAATTTTGAAATGTTATGTATTTTGATGAATACGCCTCAACATTACGAACTCAACATTACTACACCTCAATTAAAACTAAATTTTCTTGAGTTGTGGTTTTCAAAAAAAGTATTAAAAATTAGGGGAACAATTTAATCTCTGAATGAAGTATATTATTGATTACCTACTATGCTTTCCTTTAAACATAAATTATGTATTCATTTTATTTAAAAAGAAACATATAATATTTCAAGGTTTTCTAAGAATTATAGCAATTTTTACAACACTTATATAAATTCGCTCTTATTGAAATGAAAAGTATTCTGTATAATTTCCCTTGAGAATTAATTATTTTTTTAAGAATGTATTTTATATACAAGTAAAATTTTTTGCACAACATCAGTGAAAATATTTTATAACCTTTGAATTAGTACGTAAAATGTTTATAAAGAAATTATTGAAATAAAACGAATGCAAAAAAAAAAAAAAAAAAAAAAAAAAAAAATCAAATCGCATGTTTACAACTAGTAATCAGAAAGAATAATTTATTTGTTTAATTTTTGGTATGTTCTGCTGACTTTCCTGACCCTTCCTCACAAGGGTCATTGTGCTAACGGTAGCAGGAGGTTAAGGGAAGAAAGAAATAGACATTTTATTCCCTCTAGAGGAGAGGGAGTTTCTTCAATCTTAGCTTTACTCATATCAAATACAGTACAGAACCCATTATCCGGAAATCAGAAAACCGGAAAACCAAAAAACCGGAACGAAATTCGATAAATTTTCCCACCAATTTTTAAACAAAAATTTTTTTTCCTCATAAGATTTTAGGATTTTTCTTTCTTTTTTGAAAGATGTTTACCTTACCATCATTTTGGAAATAATCATTAGTGTATTACTTCATCGTTTTTTCTTCTTTTTAAGATTATTTCCCAATA